TGAAGAAAAAATACACATATTTTCGTAGACTCTTTTTTTGCGTTGGATTTCGAKGCTGATGTTGCTGTTGATGTTAATGGTGGTACTAAAATAGACGAAATTATCTCGTTTCGTTTCGTTTCGTTGCCCAAACTGGAGAAAGTAGAACCTGCGACGCAGTTTTTTTCCGGCTAATGATATCGATGTCATCGCCATTTGGCAGCAGCTGTACACTCTCATATAAGATTGTACCTTCTCTATTAATTTCTGCAGCTCAAATGATTTTCTATAGCAGAAGATTCAAGAAGTTGCACGACAGAGTATCGCCTTGTCTGAAACCTCCATTGGTATCGCACGGCTCAGAGAGGTTCGTGGTCAGGCAATGGAACGTCTRCTCCATCGTCATCGATTAGGGAAATCAAGACATATAATTCTTGATATATTATATAATTTTAAAAATCCACTCCACCCTCTATACAAAAAATTTATTATTAGTATGAATTGGCAAAGCTAGAGTTCACTAACTGTTTAGCAATGGTGGAAGAAAGAAAAATTTGCATCCAGTTGAGAGCTTAATGGCTTTTAGGCTTTCACACAGCGATCACACATACGATCTAAACATTAAAATTTCTCTAAAAGTTCCAACGATTTCAAATTACTTTTTAGTAGGCCCAATTATTACGTAGTTAATTATATAATGAATTATTTTATGTAATTATTTAATAAAATTGTATTATAAACTTTCATCATATTTTTCTCTATCCGCTTTCAGATTTCGAGAGATAGCAACAGAAAATAAAATAAAATTTCTTTGAATGTGAAAGTGAAAGAGAATATCTGTAGAAAAAATTAAGTCTAAAAATTTTGTGAACAGAAGGCAACAAGGCAGTGGAGCTTAAATACAAATATAAACGGAACTGAATCTATTTATATAAAAAATTTTTACAACCTCGTAACAATTTTGCAAAATCTGAAAAAGAAATTACTTATATTTCTTCAAGAATGTGTAATAACAGCAAAATGCAAAAAAAAAATATAACAATAATAAATAAATTATTTATAGTATAACAGCAAAAGCTACTCACGGCAGAATGTGTTTCTAATTGGTATAATTTATTTATCTATTATTTTCTAATGATTCGAGAAAAGAGCCTAGCGCTTGGCTAGTAGAACGTCACAGCCGTTTTAGTATACATATATTACYCTCAGTGGATGCTAATAAATGCATATAATTGTAACGATTGCGGCAATAATAAAACTAACGCGCCAAATATCGTGAAAATATCYACAAGTRCGTAATATAAAAAACTYTGAAATAGKYCAMGTAAAACTGCCTGCCATGCGAACMACAAAATCGGCGAACATGATTGCYTTTACACAGCGTARAATGCAAACGATGCTTGCTAAAGCAGCGAGAACGATAACGAAAACAAAAATAACAACAACGAAAAATACAACARATATATTACCGCAGTCAACATATATAATGAAAATGAAACGAAAAAGTAAAATACCAAAATTTTTGTTGTTTATTACCGCAATTTCTATTAACAGCTTCTGGCCGTCGCTTAGCGATGGTGGAGGTGCTGGTGGTAGTCTACTGCCGCTTGTCTATGGCACGCATATGACCGTCACAGCTGGTGATGCCATCGCACACACGTTCACTATCGAAATGCGTGGCCAAAATCACTATCACGATGGTGGTGGAGGAGGCGGAGCAGACAGTAGTGGYAGTTTGGAAAATATGGATTTGGAGAATATGGATATGCATGCCTTTGATCATGATACTGGCATTGGTGGTGTACCAGAGGAGTCGGAGGAACGCGATCATATCGCGCATCATTTTGGTAAGTTAGTTTCTCTACAACTAAAATCGTATATTTTCCCAAACTATATTTATAAAGTCTTCCTTGATTTATTATTCATATTAGCATAGGTTAGATTTTACTAAATGTAGTATATTGCGAAGCCCCAAAAAAATTCCGATATCGAACAATGTAAGTCGATAAAGCGCCTTGAGGTCAATGCAAATATACTTAGGTATTTCATTTTTATTCCCAGCAGCTCATTGCAATATCTGGGTGAGCTCCCAAAAGGTTAAGCCTTAATCTCGCAAAGGCGAACATCTATCTCGTCGTGCTCCAAACAGTTTCTACAGTTGAGATACCAACTTTAGGTGCTGGTCGCCTATAGGGCAATGAATTATTATGACGTCCAACACTACTGAGAACAAAGARCTCACTGAACTTACAACAATGCAACAACCAATGACATAAACAGATTTTTAATCGATGGTCAAGCTACCACAAAGTAGAATGCACGAAGCGGAACAGTCAATACAATTCCCTGATAGTGGAGCTAGCATGCCATTTCTTGTCAACTCAGTAGCTCATCAGTTACCTACGGTTCGTCTGTGGACTGACTTCCATAACAAGCTTATTGCAAAGTGACTTAATTCCATTGATAACGAAGTTAGGAGGCTTTTCTTAAGCAGTCTAAAACGCACCGTTAATGAGCTGAAAACTAATATGGCGGTCTTACTAAGTACCAGAGTGCACTTCATAGCAGTAAATCTACCATTATAATACGCATCTAACAACCGCCCCCAAACTTAAGCCAATCCATAGAGAAGAACATTGTTCCTCTTTCTAGGATAATCCACATCCTCCCATGCATGTTGTAGGAACTTTGATTCCCTGAATCCGATAATAACTTCCGCGTCCAAACACTTTTCGGATATACCTATGAACGTTGATTGCTCTCGCGCTTTCATGTGTGATCTTTTTAGGGTCTTTCACCACCCAAATAYCCATAGAAAATAATAAGCTTGACTGTTGGCTCACAGCGGAAAAGAACTATTTCTAGTGTGAGATCCCACATTTGGAGACTGCAGACGGATGCTTCCCATATATTCAGAAACTTTTCCTTGAWYTTGAGTGCAACATCCTCTGCATAGGCAATCACCCGACAGTAATAAATCTCAAGTTTTTAGAGCATTGACGATCTATAAGAAAGGAGAAAGAACACCATGAATCAATTAAATCCTCTTGGTCATCCTTATCTTGGACTTGTATATTGCATGTTCCTCTTTATACTTTACCCRCTCGTCAGTTAATCCATTTCAGCGGGCTTCATTGAATAAAGAAAGAKATGTTCTTCCAACAAATTGTCTTGTCGTATTCACTAAATATGTATRRTATATACTACTTTTTCACGCGACTGTTCCCAAATTTGCATTGTTTGTTCCAGTTTTTGCTATCTCCAAACGCCACTGCACCCTAATTACAATTAACACACTTGACCGCACAGGCATATAGTTAAATTGTTGACCAGAGCAAAGAGTGTGACAATTAAATGATTACAATTACAAAATCTGCTGTCGAGATGATACTGTGGTCAGCACATATGTATTTATATATGGTGTTTCCCATATATGCAGTCCTGTTCATGAAAATAGTGTTGCAACAGTTTCTTGTATTTAAAGATCTTTTCTAACATATACTGACTTGCCAAGCGCGATGATTTTGCTAGAATAGACACTCTATATTTAACGAAAAATCTCGACTACGCTTGCTCAAGGATTTTTTATGACGAATTTTTGTACTTTCTAAAAATACATTATATTCACTAAAATAACAATGCTTGCTGTTAGGCGTATTCGAAGTCAACAGAAATAAAAATTTCCACTACATATGTTATAACTAAATTAAAAGCCTCTTATTAGTTTCTTCTTTATAATTTTCCATTTAAATAAATTTTTTTAATCTCATCTACTTGAATACCTCCTTTCCATCACTTCTAGATCTTAGTGGAAATGTTGTTCACTAGAATTATCTAATTACCCAAAAAAATTTTTTGTTTAATCGATTATCATGTTTTCTACTAGATTTTTAAGGTTTGCCACAATATTATGCAAAAATTCTCATATATTGGTGTTATATGGTTCCTTAAGAAAATTTGGACTGTCAACAAAAAACATTTCCAAGCCGCACTTTTCGACACATGCATAAACTGTGATAAATCTAGAACTTTGATGAATTTTTGCATTTATAGACCAAAAAATACTTTACTTTCCAACTTTTTTATACAAAACGTCTTAAATTTTTCACAAATGTAAATAGTTTTAATTGCATCCAACCGTGTTCAACACTTTGACAAACTTCTTTATGATTCGGAAATGGATAACTTATAATATTCCTAATCTGATTTGAGCTGCTTCACACTACCTTTCACTTCCACTTGTAGAATGTACAGATTTCCGAGAATTTGACGACAACATTGCTTCTGAGCGCAGATAAATTAGTTTTTAAACACAAACAGGTATTTTTAGTAAGCAAAACTGGAAATTTAGTACACTGTAGATATCTCTAGGTTTGATTTTTACTAAACTGTCAAAACTTTACACATAATTTTTCTCATATTTTCAGTCAAGAGCTTGGTAGTGGGATCACGTGAAGTTTTTATCAAAAAAAAACTTAATCTTATAACTGATAAGCCTGGTCCAAATATTAGTTTCTCAAAAAAGTCTTGCGGTATTTCTTGTGGTATTTCTATTGAAGTTTTTTCAATTTTCAATTGTTCATAAAATTTTTTTTGACTCATACCCAGCTCTTGACCGATGCTACGGCTGCTACTATGCCGGGCTCTTTCGACCAATTCAGCGATTTTATCGCAATTTTCGACGACAAGCCTTCCAGAGCGTGGCGCATCTTCGACCACGTCTAGACCATAACAAAAATGTTGAAACCATCGTTGTGCGGTAGAAATGGAAACTGTATCGGGTCCATAAACTGCACAAATTTTATTGGCGGCTTGAGATGCATTTTTACGTTTACCGTAGTAGTGCTGTAAAATATGCCGTATTTTCTCTTTATTTTACTTCATGTTTGTGACACTATAACTCACGAACGACCTAAAAGAACGACAATCAATCAAACACGTGTTAGCACGTGAAATGAGCTTTCCAAAAAGGTATAGCATCACCCGATGCGACGAATAAAACTAGAACTACGCGCTCTCATCGCCAACTAGCGGAAGCATTATTGCGAGAGTATAAAAATGGTGCCCTCTGAATGACATGAAAATATCTGAGAGATTTACCGATATTTTCGGTGAAAAATTAGGTTAGGTTAGGCACTGAGTTCTTCGTGTTCCATTCAGGGACCTTGAAAAGCTAAAGTCCGATAACGACAATTTTTCAACAAGGGATACCTCAGCTCAAATACCGTATTTGTGTTAAGTTTTATTCCGCTATCATAATTGCGTCATAATGTATATATTATACAGAGAAGGCACCAGTTGGAATTCAAAATAGCGTTATATTGGAAGAAGGCGTAGTTGTGAACCGATTTCACCCATATTTTATACATGTCATCAGGGTGTTAAGAAAATATTATGTACCGAATTTCATTGAAATCGGTTGAGTGGTTCCTGAGGTATGGTTTTTGGTCCACAAGTGGGAGACGCCACGCTAATTTCAATTTTTAGAAACAGACTGAGTGCAGCTTCCGTCTGCCATTTCTTATGTAAAATTTAGWGTTTCTGACGTTCTTTGTTAGTCGGTTAACGCACTTTTAGTGATTTTCAACATAACCTTTGTATGGGAGGTGGGCGTGGTTATTATCCGATTTCTTCCATTTTTGAACTGTATTTGGAAATGCCTGAAGGAAACAACTCTGTATAGTTTGGTCGGATATCTCGGAAACTACTATAGCTATGTAGTTTTCGAGATATGTACAAAAAACTAGGGGGCGGGACCACGCCCTTTATTTCCAAAAAAATTACGTGCAAATATGCCCCTCCCTAATGTGATCCTTTGTGCCAAATTTCACTTTAATATCTTTATTTATGGCTTAGTTATGACACTTTATAGGTTTTCGGTTTTCGCCATTTTGTGGGCGTGGCAGTGGGCCGATTTTGCCCATCTTCGAACTTAACCTTCTTATGGAGCCAAGAAACGAGTACCAAGTTTCATCATGATATCTCAATTTTTACTCAAGTTACAGCTTGCACGGACAGACGGACAGACGGACGACGGACAGACAGACATCCGGATTTCAACTCTACTCGTCACCCTGATCACTTTATTATATATAACCCAATATCTGACTCTTTCAGTTTTAGGACTTACAAACAACCATTATGTGAACAAAACTATAATACTCTCTTTAGCAGCTTTGTTGCGAGAGCTTAAAAAAAGACTTTGCAATCAGTTACTATTCAATCGAAAAGACTTACTGTTTGAAACTTTCATTTCTAACTGAATTATCAAAAAAAAATAAACAATACTATTTTCGGGAGAGGTCTATCTTCCATTAGGTATTTTTAAGTAAATCTTATAGAACTAGCAGCTTGCATATTTAACTTTATATTTTTTTTGTTTTGAAATCAAAACCCACATCATTACTATTTTCATGAGCACAGTTGTGCATATGTGTGGGCTTATCTGCATTAAATGTTTGAAGCAAACAATAAAAAAGTAGACCGTGGAATATGCCAATGTCTAAATGTATGTGATTAGTTTTTCTCTGTGCCCGTGTGAATATTTACTGAGCGGCGGTTGAATAAAATTAAAATTTATTTAAGCCTAAAGCAAAGGCTCGTTTCACAGTATTTTCAATGGCCTGTAAAAATGGCTAGTCGGCTGGTCGCTTCACAATAGCGTTAATGTAATCACTTGACCACAATAAAGTATTTACTATATAAGTGGGTGTTGGTATATGACACTATACAGTACTGTGGTATTTCAATGCTTAATAAATGCGAACCAAGTTATTATTTTTAAGTGGAGGAATTCAAAATTTTATATTTTTTTAAAGAATCGCCAGTCCTTATGCCATATAAGTCG